GCAGCACGGAAGCGAGAAAGGGCTGTCCTCGCGGGTGATCTTGGAGGGAAACGACCTCACAAAACTGAGGCCCGGGAGGAGGCTGCAGGAGTCAGCGGAGTGCGTTCGGGTCCTGCCTTTCCTCACCGCTCTTTCCACACCTCCTTAGACGATGGAAGTCAGTGACTTCACGTCCACGGTGGCTTGTTTCATGAGACTGTCGTGGGCTGCAGCTGCAGGACGGCTTGACCTCGTTGGGAGTAGCCAGCCAATTAAAGAAAGTAATTCTCTGTTTCCTGCTGGAATTCGAAACAGACTCAGCAGTTCAGGTACTGATTAAAAAGGATAAAGTGATTAGTACACTGGGCAAGAAGTACCTATAAGAAGCACCCCGGCATAGGTTGTTCAGAGTCACAGGAAGGAGAAAACCTTTTCTCTTGCTGAGCTTGAGTGAAAATTCATCAAGCTACACACTCAAGATTTGTGCACGTTACTGTGTGTGTGTCATACTTCATTTAAGAAGAAGAGTGTTCATAAATACAGGGTAAATAGGGAAACAAAGCAGAGTTTGTGCTTGCTGAGTGTGAAAGTGTCATGAAGCCAGTAATAATGCACATAGAATTTGTACTTTTCTTGGTTTACAGCCTGTTATTTTCTGTTGGGCCTTCCTTTGTAAGAAGCTTTATGTCTCAGCTTCATTTGGTTTCCCTGCTCAATCTATGTATGTGTATTCACCTCAATAATAAAAAAAGTTTTTAAGCTATGTGATACACATGTAGTAAAGCACAGAAGTGTTCAATGTACATGATTTTTAGGGTTTTTACATATGTATAACCCATCTAGATCAAGATAAAGAACATTGCTAACATCCCAGGAAGGCTCCCACATGCCTCCAAAATTGCACTATTCCTAACTTGTATCACCTGAAACTAGTTTTGCCTCATAAACACATTTTTGAAAGCTTCCAGATGTGTTTTAAGTACAGAATAGTGAGGGTCAAATGAAGTAATTAAATCTCTCTTGTTTCTTAGACCAGAGTGTCTTGAAATATTTACTTTCACTTGTGGATCATGGAATACATTAAAGGATATCATTATATCATGAGAGTCCTGTGGGATCTGCAGTAACCTTCTGCTCACGTTTCCAGGAAGCAACTGCAGCTCCGGGAGTGAAGGAGATCCAGTAGCCCTGCACGCTGGCATCTGTGTGCGACAGCAGTCCGTGTCCACCAAAGACTCGCTGATTGCCGGAGAGGCTCTGTCCCTTCTTGTTACGTGCCTGCAGCTTCGGAGCCAGCAACTGGGTATGCAGGACACTTGCTGTTCATCCCTTCTAGGGAAGGGCCAGGCTTTGGGAATGATTTATATTCCATCCTAGATAAGGTCATAGTGAAAGAAATGGAAGAGGGGGGGAACGTTGGTGTGTGGAGTAAGTGAGGTCTGTGCTAGGTACTTAAATCCTGAACGAGTATTTATTGAGCACCTTCTGTATACACAGTTCTACCATGCATGTTATAAAGACAGTATGCCTGCTCTCCAGGACCTTACTACCTAGTTGAGGAATTAAAGCACTCCAAGTGTGTAGGTCATGAACTGTAGAATCAGAACTGTGTATCAGTTCCTAAACTGATAATGACTCCAGTATTAAAAATTATGAAACTTAAGATTTGCCCTTTTGTCTTTATTGTTGGCTTTGGCAAACTGGGGCTATTGCTAATCATTCTTTTAACGTCAGACAGCCTAGGGCTCAGTCCCTCATCACTGTCTTTCCTTTGGCTACACTTGTTCTCGTAGTAATCTCATCCACCTTCGCAGCCATAAATTCCCTCTGTATGCTGGTAACACCTACATTTGGCCCTACAGCCTGAGCCTCTCCCCTGACATCTCCACTTAGATTATCAGATAGGCTTCCCAAATTTAACACGTCCGGAGCTGAATTACTGGTCTGGCCCATACCTCCCAAGAGTTTTCCCAACTTAACAACAGTTTCATTCTTTAAGTTGCTCTAACCAAAAACCTTGGGGTCATCCTTTTTCCACACCCTGCTTCTAATCTGTCAGCACATCCTTCTTCAAACCATATCTAGATTCTACCCCTTAGACCACCTTCGCTGTTACTACTCTCTGACCCGCCCTCATCTCTTACTTGGATTTTAGCAGTTGTGCCCTAACTAATCTCCCTGCTTCTACCCTTGCAGTTTATTCTCCACACAGTAAGCAGAGTAGACCTTCTAAAATGTAAGTCAGATTGTATCACTCCTGTTTAAAACCTTGCAGTGGCTTCTGAGGTCACACTGAGTGAAAGCCAGATCTTTCCTGAGGCCTTCAAGGCCTGACACTGTTCACCCCCTTGATACCTCTGTGCCTTCACCTACTCCCCTCTCCCGCTCCCTCACTGTGCTTCAGCCACCCTGGCTTCCTGGCTGTTCCCCAACACTGCAGGCACATTCCAACCTCAGGACCCTTGCACTGGCTGTTCACACTTCTTGGTATGTTCATCCCCTGCCTTTTAAGGAGATCACAAACCTCTCCTCACCCAGCATCACCTAAACTCCTTACTTTATTTTTTCTACATCACTTGTCACTTTACAGCATAGAGTATAATTTGTCTGCTTATCATATTTATCATCGTTCTTCCCTCCCCAACTAGACGGTAAGTTCTGTAAGAACAGAGACTTTTTGTCCATTGTGTTCCCTACTGAATCTTTAGCACCCGAACACCGCGTGATGTGTAATAGGCCCTCAATAAATACTTATTCAGAGATGAAGCCTTAATAGCTCCACTTTTAAAAATTGTACTAACACGTAGGAGCCTTGTTCACTGTTATTACTGATTCAGACTGGCTGTTACATAGAATTGGTGATTATTATGTATTTAGTATAGCATCCAAACTCATCGTGTAAGACCAAGATAAACATGTAGAAAAAAATTAGACCTTTATGGAACAGTAAAATAGTATCCAAAATGGGTTACTTTGAGCAAACATACCTTTAAAGGCTTATATATGAGGAGGGTAAGTCATTATGAAATGCTTTTGAGCATAAGCCATACTCATAGTTCAATCTCCTTACAATTCTAGAGATATTTTAAAATCAAGGTGAAAAAATGATAACTTCAAGCCTTTCTATCATTTGTAAGTTTATTGTAGGGTACGTTTTATAGTTCACAAGTATGGATCGTTTATCAAGGCAGGACATATTTATCCTGTAACTGGTGTGCACAAGGCAGTGTGTGAAAACGTGAGGGTACAAAGGTGACCATGGCACAGCCCTGCTCTTGAGCACCTTAGTCTCTCCTGGGGTGGTCTCAGACACGGGGCAGTTGGGGAAGGTATGGAATTTGATTCCATGTGGAAGAGGAGATGATTTCTACTAGTTAAGCTTAAGAAATTATTCAGAATTTTTGAAATCTTGAAAATGCACTTCCTAACTTAGTTTCCTCCCTTGCTCCCAATCGTCCTTATTCTTTTCGGTAGCATCTTTCTATAACTTGCCCTGTGTTGCTGATTTTATCATTGATATTCTGCTTGGATCACCAAGTGCTGAGGTAAGGATTTTTTACCTTACTTTATAAAAAACCCATTTGGTCCTATCCTGTCATGGGCTCTCTGGATAGCTGTGACATTATGAGAGGTACAGAAGGAATGGCATTTAGTCCTCTCAGGGAGTCGTGCAAAGGGGCTGCAGACCACTCTGAAAGCAACATGACCATTTGGACTGTCACCCTCCTTTCTGTTCCATATTCCACCAAAAGTTGAGACTAGCGCTGTGATTAACTTGTGTTGTTTATAGCAACACAAAATGTTACACCCAGTATTCAACATCCATAGCTGGCAAAAGCAGCTAGCATTAAGCATCAACATGTTTGTCAAAATCAAGAAAGACCAAATTCAAGCCATGAACTTTCATTAGATTTTATAATTCTGATTTTCTTACGTGACCATGAAAATTAACTTTGAGACACTTGAAGAAGTTTTTCCTTATTTTCATTTACATGAAATTATAAACATATTGATTAGAGTGGAATACAATAGTAGAATAATTTGGGAAATCAATTCCCAGACCACACTTATTTTAAATTAACCCAGTTTTTTCCATGTAAACTTTACCATTAATTATTGAAATGCTCAAACCCTTATAGCATCCTTCAGAGTGTGGACTTTGGAGGAAAATCATTTTTTAAGCAGTTTCTAAGTGTTGGTTGATGTACATCCTTTGCCACTAAAAATGTAATTCCAGATTCGCCGTGTTGCCTGTGATCAGCTGTATACTCTTAGTCAGACAGATACTTCAGCTCATCCAGATGTACAGAAGCCAAATCAGTTTCTCCTGGGTGTGATTCTCACGGCTCAGCTGCCCCTCTGGTCCCCCACTAGTATCATGCGAGGAGTCAATCAGAGGTACGTAATACAGATGACAAAGTTCACGTCATACAGAAAGAGAGGAATGACTTGTGTACTGCTCCCCCAAAGTCCACAGTGCATGATTAAGATGACAGAGTTTATCCTTTCCTCTTACCACATTTGTGCCCTGAAGTAGGACATTTCAGTTTTTTCCCCATTCAGGACAGAAGAATTAGAAGGAACAAACAATACTAGGTTTTCTTCCTTTCGACCACCCCAACTCCAGCCTCCACCCAACCTGGTCCACCTATCCCAAAAAGAGAGAAGGCTCACCTAGTTGTGGGGAGGCTGCATTATTCGAGCCAGATCACTGATTAAAGATCACACTGCTCATGTCCACTTATACAGCAGTTTCTTAGCTCAGCTTACTTTATAACTCCATGTCTTGAGGTAGTGAGGTATCCTTCTAACCTACTTTCTTGGTGGGTTTTTTGTTTGTTCGTTTTTGTTGTTGTTTTTGCTATCTTGGTTTTATACATGCCTGACATAGAAGTCTTGTGGTCCAGGCTCAGAGATGACTTGAGTAAATCCATCTGCCTGCCCCATCTAATCTCCTTGGGCTAGGCTAAACTGTGTGAAGGGGTGCCCTAGTGTAGGGCCCAGAATGGGAGGTAGGAGATACCAAGTTTGACTTCAAGTTTCAGCCACTTTCTCCGACTCGGCCTTACCAGAGAGCCCCTGATCTGGGACTTAGAAGGTGCCGCAGAGATTTGTGAAATCACTATCTACTTTCCTTGTGTATATGCTTTATAAATTAGAGCCCATAGAGGGAAGAAATGTTAGAGCTACTCCAAACCCCTAAGATACAAGCATGCAAACTTGGTCCAACTGTATTCTTTTCCACGTAGATGCACAGTTGTCTCGGCACAATTTTTTGAGGACTGTTCTTTCCCCATTGAATGGTTTTGACATTCGTGTTGAAAGTCATTTGAACGCATAAATATTTTATATATACATACACACACACACACACACACACACACACTCATACATAGATGCATGCATATATATGTTTACTTCCATTGATCTGTATTCTAGTTCTACGTAGCATTGTAGTAAGTTTGAAATCGGGATGTGTGAGTCCTCCAGTTTTGTTCTTTCTCAGAATCGTTTTGGCTACCAGAGGGTCCCTTTGAGATTCCGTATCAATTTCAGAATAAGTTTTTCTATTTCTGTGAAAAGCATCACTGGTATTTTAATAGGGTTTGCATTGAGTCTGTAGATGACTGGGTATGATTTGTGTCTTAACAAGATTTAGTCTTCTAGTCTGTAAACATGAGCTATCTTGACATTTATTTAAGTCCTCTTTCATATATGGAGATTCCTGACCCCCATATCTAAGTCTCAACTTTAAGTATTATTTTGAACCATTTAACCTCTTTTAACCTTCTACATTTATAAATGGAGACATCAAGATTTTGGTTTCTGAGATAAGGTCATTGTGAGTGATGTATAAAACTTAAAAATTTAACTGAATCTTACAGTCATGTTACAGTTGGCCATCAAGATCTCACCTAAATGAGACCTTAGCTGTGTATTTCTGCTTATGAAAGTAAATCTTCAGTGGTGTAAAGCCAAATTTCAGACAGTGGTCTTTCCCTGATAAAGACGTTCAGATTAAAAGACATAGAAACTTCTTTTTTTGCCTTTGTACGTTTTTTTACTTTAGAATTCTAATTTTTCCTAGTTGAAAGTTTCCTAAAATCAGTTAATCCTTTTAGCAGCTAGTAAGCTCAGTGATTCTTTAGTTGAAATGTGTCAGCCGTTTTTAAGTAGTAAGCTGTTGTGCTTTTACTTGTAAGAGTCAGATTGTTGAACATACCTCAATAAGAAGAGTTTGATTTGTTACTGAGTTTCTCTAACCTTTGCAAAAGAAACAGAAAACGTTAGTTGAGTTCTTGAGCATACACTCTCAGAGACTCTCTTGAATGTAAAACATGCAATGTTACATAAAACTGCGTCTTAATTACACATTTTTATAATTTGAAAGTTGCATTTCATAACTTTTAATGCCCAAGTTTGGTACGTATTTTCCCTTAGTAGTAATAGTAATGATGATAATAACAGTTACCATGGGCTCATTATGTGCCACACAGCAGGCTAAATTCTTGGCATGTATTTGTCATTTAATCCTCAAAATGGCCAAGTGAGTTTGGCAAATAATAATACCCACTTTTTAAATAATCATAATTCTTCACTCATTGTCTGTTCTCATCATTAGTGCATTCCAGACCCTTTATGCATGTTTGTGTATATGTGTGCATATTTATTCCTAGTCCTCTAATAAGCATTTTAGAAATCAGAAAACTGAGAGAACTGAAATAAATTGTCCCTGGACACCCAGCTGTAAGTAGTGGAGCCGAGATTAAAAGCAAGGTCCCCTGACTTTAAAACTGCGCTCCCACTACCATAATTGCAGAGAAAGCTTCATTGATTGTCCAGGATAAAAGAATTTACCTTTCTCTTTCTTGTCTTGTCCACTTTATTTTGCTTCTTAGCGCTTACCACCAGTTACCATGTGTATGTATTTTTTGTCTGTTGTCTGTCTCCTTTGTTCTTTGTTCACTACTCCCTTAAAATAATTCTAAGCATATAGTAGGTACTTAATATGTATCAGTTGCTATTGGAACAAATGAATGTAATCGATGCATTATGTATGCAATCTGTGTGCATCATTACAAAATGTGACAGATTTAGTAAATTTCTTCTCTTTACACTGTTATTCCTATACTGTATCTGTATAAATAAAATCAC